TTTCGAGTGATAGCTTCATAAAGTGTTTGCTGTGACTCGGTCATGACGTGAGAAGCAAAGAGAATACCTGTCACTCAAAAATGGTCAAATTCATATCGATATTTTGTGAAAATACTTTAATCATTAATCAGTAGAGTGGCGTCAACGATTGGTCAAGTCAATTAATTCGGTGATAAGTAACCAATAGATGTTTGAGTGCTTGACGTAATATTGGCCAATTCCTTGTCCTAATGAGGCGTGAAATCGAACGAATGAATGTCTGACAAGTTTGGATAATTTGACTGAATACATCTCGAGTAGAATTTAATAAAGGTTCTAAGTAGAGCATGCATCAGAAAAATCGAATTTCATTTGACTATGGTGTGGCACTTGTACGATTTCAGTGTTCAGGGAACTGTGTATTGTTGTTGACAAAACTCCTATCAACCCTGAATTTAAAACGACAACTGTCAAAGCCGTCTCAATTCTTCCTGCTATTGCAACTCCAATTCAGAATATGTTATTCACAACGTATTATCAATACGTCTTCCAACACCTCTCTCATATCTATTTAGTTTATGCTTTGCAACAGCTCCATTTTATTTACTAAGACCATTGAGAAAATTGCGCGTTTTTCAGTATTGTAACTATAATGCATAGCCTCAACTTTCATTCATTTGTAATGAAATTAAATACATGATAAACAATCGATATTTTTATTTTTATTCTAATAACTTGCATTAATACTTGGACAAAAATTATTGTTGAAGCCAATAGCTTCGAGTAGGAATAAGTCTAAGGTGGTGTGTTGGTGGAGGAGGGGAGGAGATGGGGATGTGAGGAATCAAGAAGAAGAAGCTGATGACAACGTCAAGGTTTCAAACATTCGGCATTGTTTAATTTCTGAACGTGGGTAGCACAGCATTTACTAAATAGGTAGTTCTTATTCCAATAGTCAACAATACCCTCTGCCCATTAACCAGAAACTTTTAATTAGAAATAGGCGGCCTTATTACTTCACTTCAATATTTGGAAATTCTTTGAAGCCAAAATACCTTTGGTGGAGGAGGGGAGGAGATGGGGATGTGAGCCTATTGGCATTCACAAGGGGGCTGTTTAATTTTGTAGCCGATAGCTACCTTAGTAAAGCCTGCCTGACTGACTCAGAAATCTCTATGGCAGATTCTCCTACCTGACTCAGAAATCTCTTTGGCAGATTCTCCTACATCTAGACCGACTCAGAAATCTCCATGGCAGATTCTCAAACATCTAGCTACCGGCTCAGAAATTTCTATGGCAGATTCTCCAACATCTAGCTAGGAATCAGAAATCTCTATGGCAGATTCTCCAACCTCTAGCTAGAGAACAGCTAAGCTATAGCTCAGCTATAAAGAAAACAGACGTGTAGCACGGAGCGCGTTTATATCTATGGCAGATTCTCCTACATCTAACTAGACTCCCAGAACCATCTAAGCTATACCCCAGCTATCGAGGAAACAGACGTGTAGCACGGAGCACGTTGATTCAGTGAGTATATTGCGGATAAATTGTACACGTAAGGAGGTACTCATGGTCAGGATGGGGGATTAGGTTAAGCAAACAGAGGTTAATGATTGGTCACTGTTTGTACGGTCGCTGCACACAGAGTTGTACTGCCGCACCTCCCAATCCTGCCGAGCAGACATGCAGGCATACGATGACCCTTACGGAGTGTGCGATAGACTTACCTCCACGTGGTGCACCCTGGGCAACGTAAACGCATACGGCAAAAAAGTCTATTAATCGGCAGTTGACTTCTCACTTCAAACTACTAACACCCCACTCAATGTCATATTCGACTATTTCACAGTACTCACCTCACCTTTGTTCTACCTTTGTGTATGTCTCTTACACCTTTGAAACACTCTTCTGTTCCCCCCCCCTCTCACGATTTTTTTCGATTTGATGTTCCTTCCCCCCTGTGAACCCTGAGGTCAACTAAAGGGCTAATGATAACCATCAAGACGCCTGCCATTTGATATTAATAAATAAATATTTTCAAAATTCTAAAATTTTGGGGTTTACAGTGCTCAGGAACGATTTATTCTTGAGGATTTGTGTATGGAAAATACTTTTACGTTTTTCATGTATTGCACTAACACATTTAAAATTGCAGGAAAGAAAAAGTTTGAATAGTAAGAACTTAGATAAGTTATTATATTTATTTATTTCAAATGACAGGTGTTTTGATAGTTATCATAAGACCTTTAGTTGACTTCGGGCTTCACAGAGGGGAGGAACATCAAAGTGAGAAGAATTCAAGAGGGGGAATAGAAGAGTGATTCACAGATGTAAAAGAAACAGAAAGACACAAAGGCTCAAAAAGGGTAAGATGAGTACTGTGATAGGGGTCGACTATGACATACAGTGGGGGTGATGGTTGTTTGAAGTGAGAAGTCAACTGCCAGTTAATAGACTTTTTTGCCATATGATTATACGTTGCCCAGGATGCACCACGTGGAGGTAAGTCTATCGCACACCCCTTTCATAAAACCTAATACAATGGAATATGCTGATTTTAAAGCAGCGAAAAGTTGCCGATTGAGAAAGTTGTTTTAAATCCTACACAACTGTATCAAGTTCGAACAAAAAAACTGTATGGGAAGTCGTTAAAATATGCTCTCACTTTAGGAAAAAGAGAATATCTCAGGATCTCAAGTTCAAACCTGTGCCACTTTGTCCTTAACATCTCTAGGGAGATCAGGAGAAGTCAATTTCTATTGAAGATTAGTTTTTAGTCAATTGAGCTGATTTTATTAGCAGCAATTTGATTTCTCGTTCAGCTTCAAGTCTACCTATTTCAAGGTAATGGTAAAGCATGTGCTCTTAATCGAATATTGGTTACCCTGATTGTCTGCTTCGTCAAAAAATCTCGGCTTCACTTTCCATCCGGGGGGACACAGCCAGTGAGCGGAATGACGAACCACACTAGTTTATTCCCCCCCCCCCCCCCCAAACACAAAATCCCTCCACAGAGGGTGAGCATTGAAGATCAATTTACTAAAAGAGTTCCACGTTCCAGTGTTTTTGTTCGTACTTTTAAGCTAGTCACAAATATTAACTCCCATAACTTCACAATTAACGAGCCCCCCCCCGCCTCCCCCAAATTGATAACGTAATAAAAACAACATTGATAAAACAACTCATCAGAGCGACGTTGAAGGTTGTTGAAGAAGTCATGTAATTTTATATTTAGATCTGGCGGGTGGAGACAAAATAAAAGAAAAGGGAGTTGGAGGAAGGAGAATGGGGGGGGAGAGGGGGGCTTGAAAGTACTGATATGTCGTTTGGAAAGAAAAGCCACGTCGCTCTCTCTCTCTCCCCCGCTCTCACTCTCTTTAGTTCAATATAAATCTTTGTGCGTTCATGTGGGGATAATAAGGAATCAATATAAGATGAGGAGAGGTGCATTAAGCGCTCATAAGTTCTCTGAAAGTAAGGGGAAACGATAAGCATTGGTAATAGTTGGCGCCTGTGGGGCGTAATGGAATGAATATACACATACGATATACATATTTATATATATATATCACTTTGAGGACACTACTTCATTCAACTAGCGTATTCTTTTTCCTCTTTTTTTCGCTGAAAGACTTATCAATGTAACGTCGACACAGCTACTGGACGTAGATACTTCAAGTTCAACCACATAAGGCTTTGAATTAGGGTCTTTATATCATTACTGGAGCACTTTTGTAGTCTCCAGGGATTTGGCAATTCAAACAGCTTCAAAGCGGAAATCACCAAGAGAATTGAATCGTGCCACGCTTCCGTATATTCGGCTCCACTATAGCTGTCGCGATTAACTAATTCCGGTCGAAGAACTGCCCTAGAAGATGACGGTTCAACGTGTTTCTCAAACTTGATCTCCTCCTTTGGCATTATATAAAGGATTACAATAGGAATCCTACGAGCAGTGCGTTCCGGGAAAGCACGAAGAACAGCTCTTAGTTCGTAGTAAAGTAGGGCCAACTGCTCTGGAGCCTCCCTTGCATCAATAGCATAAATAAGACCGTCCAACGTTAGGCAAATATCCCTCATTTCGTTAGTAACACCGAGATTGGAAAGCAAATGCTCTGAAGGGACTTCCTGATTAGACTGTTCCTGATCCTCCAAATCATCCGAATGAACAAAGAGAGGACTAACTCGAAGACGAGTGTACTGATCATTGAAAATATGCTTCAGATGTGGAGGAAGAGAATAGAGATAGGAAAGATCGAAAGTAAAGTCTTTATGCTGATGACATTGACAGGGATACGCTGTGGAGTGATGGAGAAGAGGAGGATCTGTCGAATCTCCAAATGGTCGCAAAGGCGGAGTAGTTGGTGGTACTGAGAAACATGAAGTGAATCTGCTATGGGTTGAGGTATTTGCAGGCTTCGCAGAATCACAGGAGACCTTTCTAGAACACCTTGTTGAACCATCCATAACAGCATGCTGTGCTTGAGCGAAAAGTCTCAGTGTAATCCCTGATCCAAACCCCATATGGCCAGTAAAGACATCTATTGGCTCAAAGGATCGAGTTCGAGTGTCCACCATCTTCCAGAAAAGACGCGAGGTCCAACGATGATCTAGCCCAGGGCCGAAGAGAGCAAATCTTGGTCTGTTAGCCGAAGCACTAGCTAGTGCAGTATTAGTGGCGGTGGGATTGCGAGGGGGAAGAAGTCCACGCACATGATCAATTATGGAATGTACGAAAGCAGCAAAGTTGCAGGTTAAATTGTTGTCAGAGCTGGGAGATGAAAGTAGGAGAGAATCCGATTCAAGTTCTGCAATGTCTTCACCTCCGCCATCACATTTGGGGATGTATTGACTGAGAAAGCGATAAACAGTCCGTGGGTGAATAGAACAGGGGTCATGAAGAGGACTATTGGGAAGAGGAATGGGCATATCCTGATGAGGAGGTTCAGGACACACAATAGTGCACCAACGGGTTTCAAAGAGCTTGACCTGCCAGAGACGCCAATCATGAGAAAGGCGTCTCCATCGGCGACAGACTTGACCGCAAGCAAGTAACTGGTCGGCGTCGAGGAAGGAGAAAATGTGAAGAATCATTTCGTTAGGGAGACGGGAGAAGGGGTCATCCATGTCCGCTAACGCTGACCCTGGGGTTGAGTAGACCGGAAGCTGACAAATTCCAGGTGTTGGTGGTGCCCTTAAGGGCATATCTGTGGGATCTGAAATGCAAAAAAGGAACAAATAGAAATAAATAAAATGTTTAAAACTAACCTACGCCCGCTTCGAGAAACAAGCAGGTAATCTGAATGCCAATATTCAGAGTTAAGATTGCAAAATCAATTTGCAGGTTTAATTTAAGTTTGGTTAGTTACTAAATACTCGACCTATTACTCCCAAAATAAGCAAAAATCCTCATCCTAGTTATAATCATACTGGGCCTATATAAAGGAAACAAACGCCGCCAAAATTTAGTTTGTAACTTTGAGGAAGTCAAATTATTCCAGCCAGAGTAGTTTAGGTAAGTAATAAATTCAAGGCCAATGCATAATTAAAATAGACATGTAAACAGCAAGCTGTTATATTTAATCATTCAAATTATGTCCTAAAACGAGATATTTTGAAGATAAACTTAAGAAGGTAAAAAATTCAATCGAACCAAAGCTCCATAAAGAACAAAACTATTATGTCTAGTGAGAAGTTCTACAAAGGCGAAGCTCGGTTCATTTTTTTCTCTTGACGATACGACTTAAATGCCGTTTGAGGCTTAAATTCAGAGGGACCATTTCGATTTTGTGTGATATGATAGAAAACAAGAAATAGAACTCCTAGGAAATCATGCCTCGCTATCACGTGAAGAAAAATTATGCATCTAGACAATGAGCTTATAAAGTGAATATGGATAACTCAATGTTCAGAATTCAAACGAGGCATGGCCTGACTGCCTTAACGATATAGTTTTGACATGTTACAAGCTATACTGAGCAAATTTGACATTTTCAGATGACAGACAATTCGACCTTTTCTTGCCGGAACATGAGCAATGACAATTAGAGATTAATCAAAATACAACGAAAAAATAGCTTGATTGCTAATAAATTACTTTCGCATAAGTAATTTAGAAACGTAATAAATATTTCAGTGGAGTTAATCATAGCAATAACGGGCATGTTATGATATTGAGAGACAATATAAATTTGGACCGATGACACAAATAACAAAAAAATGATGGACGAACATGACGAAAAGAAAAGTGAAAAACAATGAGTAATAGTAATTATTTGATAAAATTAGTAATATAGCAAATTTAAATTAATAGAATGACAAAATAACAAAACATTTACCAAAATGCAATGCATCTAAAGGTAAGTGATAATGGCACATTTTAAAAATTGAAAGAAAGCACAAATCGAATTTCCGGATGAGTAACTGCATAAAATTTAAAACTGAAAAGTTGGAAATTCTTAGGAATAAATAATAGGCGGTATGAATAAATATGAGCTACTAGCAAGTTAATCAAAATTAATTGTAAAGAAAAACGAAATGCGATGGAGTTCAAAATCAAACCAAAACCAAAGAGTATGCAAATAAAGATAAAATATGGGAATAATTATTAGTCCAGTGAAAAAAGGCATAAAACAAATCTAATGGCAATAAAAGTAAAAATATTTGTATGAGTTATGGGGGACTGAGTGGATATAAGCAAGAGGCATTACTAACTTACAAAAAATGAATTAGATCCGGCCCCCGTATTTACTTTTATACCCAAATAGTATGCATCAAAGCAGACGCCGTTCAAAGAGGATTATTGACCTATTCTAAGAACAAGTAATTATGAAATTTACTGTACAAATAAAAGAACTATTTAAATTTAACTTACGAATTGCCCTCTTAAGTATTTATTTGAAAATTTATTTCCATTCAAATTTTATGAGAATGAATAATAGAATAGGTTTTATGCCCTACAAAACCATGCACATTTGTGAAGAACAAATGCATTGAAGTCAATAAATTTTGTCTAATCATTATTCACTATTTAACATGATTCACGATATTCTTATTATATTTTTGCAACTTTCCACGCAAAATATATCCAAGAGGTAAACTATCCATTTTGAATTCCTGGTACAAACGAATTGATGGAAGGAATGATTCGTAAAATTCTCTTATCCTAAGCAGAAAGTTCACATCAAGAAATTATGTAAATTTTCGTTACACTATTTTAAATTAAAGCACTAAGTAATTGCATTAAACCATTTTCAATTCGTACTTGAAAAACGACAACAAATAAATTCCTGATTGTCTGATCAAATTAGTGAAAAATGTACGCATTCATCTTTAAAAGGATGTATTTGCTGAATAATTGAGAACATGCGAAAATTTTCCCAACCAGTCAGAATTAATATTGAATTTTAAAGGCCTCGTTATTAAAACGATTTCAGAATTTAATCCAAATCATAATATAATCAATTCTTTTTTTCTGTTGAGAAATCGGATATACATACTTTAATTTTTGCAAATTTCATTGACTACGTAGTTCTATGCATTAAAATCTTATTGCTATTACATTCTTGGTGCATGGTGGCACGCAAATATGTTGCTCAGTTAGAATAAGCTATTGAGCAGAAAAAATCGTTTGTCATATATAATTCTTCAAAGTTAATGGATAAGTCAAAATGTAAAATGCTTATCTAAAGATTACAAACATATATACTTTCTGGTATTAATTTTTTTTTGATTATCCTAATATTATTACGATCGCACTGTAAATTACAGTAATTTTGACATTCTTATTATATAGATATTTAAAGCAGGATTATTGTTCTATTTTGTACACTCTGAGGCTTTGATAATAAATTCAACAGATACACATTAGCATTTATGAAGCAAAGATTTGGGTTTTATTTAGGTATTTTCTTTTATCAAATACTAACTTATCAACCTTTCAATAAGTAATCCGTTTCTATTCGCCCAATAAATTTGACATGCATGAAAATGAGCTTTAATATATAACTATTCGTTTGTAAATTAATTGTATTTTCGGTTTTTATTCTTGAGTTTATTTTACTTTTCTAACATTGTGAGTTTTGTTTTGAACCGCTTCGTTTAAAATTCTAAGGCTGGTTGATTAATTTTGCCCTTGCGGCGCGCTGTTAAAAAATGGATCCCTCATTAGAGATACATTATAAAGGTCATAAACGTGGCGTCACGAATGTCAGTTTTGGCCCCAACGGCAAGCAGTTGGGTATGTGTTCTCAGTGATTTGTTAGGATCTAGTTTCTTCCTCTCTTGATAATAGTCTTATGCTATGGAACTCTAAACCGCAAACTCGAGCGATTAGATTATTGGGGCATGCTGATGAGGTTTTATGTGCTTGTTTTTCTTCAAGTGGTGACATTATCGCTTCCGCATCCAAAGATCGCACTGTTAAATTATGGCTTCCTAATACGTAGGAATTTTACTAATGTAATTTTTTAGCAAAGGAGAATCTGTGACTCTACGATCTCACACTGCTCCAGTCAGATGGGTTGATCTATCTTCTGATGGCATTTTTCTTTGCTCTGCTTCTTCTGATAAAACTGTTAAGGTTTGGAACATTCAGCGCCAGAAATTTGTTTACAGTCTAAGTAAACACAACAACTGGGTTCGTTGTTGCAAGTATGATCTTAGTAGTTTTCATATGCAGCATTTTTCAGATTTTCACCTGATTCACGACTTATATTGTCTGCTTGTGACGATAAATCTATCCGTTTATTTGATTGCCGAACACAGGACTGTGTTACCACCTATAATGAAACCCTTGGATTCGCTACTCATATCGATTTTCATCCAAGTGAAACATGTTTCGCCTCTGCAAGTACTAATTGTGCTGTAAAGATTTGGGACCTTCGTATGAAACGTCTTGTTCAACAATATAATGGTGGGAATATTTACTAAATAATTTAATTTCTATAGACCATTCTGGGTCTGTTCTAGGAGTCAGTTTTCATCCATCTGGGGCCTATCTCCTTTCTAGTTCTGATGATTCCACAGTTATGGTCTTTGACTTACTGGAAGGCCGTCCGATTTACACTCTTAGTGGCCACAAAGGTCCTATTTCTGCCATTTCGTTTTCCCCTAATGGGGATTATTTCGCTTCTGGTGGCGCTGATAGTCAAGTTAGTTTGCTAATTCGGAAATTACGTTCTACTTATAATTTTCTAAGTGGGGGGGTTTTTTCCATTATAGGTATTTCTTTGGAAGACCAACTTTGATCAAAATCTTCAATCAACTAATGCTGCTCGAGATTCCGTCATGGATCTGATCAAAGTGCGGCCCTCCATATTAACAGAACGTCGGTATGTCCGAGACACGTATTGCCCTCAGGAATATCAAAATGGGGATCAGTTATCCTCTGATCAGCAACCTCGACCGTCTATCATTCAGAAATATATTCAATATCGTGATAATTCTAATACTGAAGTTGTGAACTCTGAAACTCCTATTCGAGCTAATGAAACATTCAAAGAACCTTGCCTTCTATCCGCGAAAGTAAGTTGTTGCGGATGACTTTGTCAAATCTCCTCATAACCATCTAAATACTTACTTTGATTGATGACGACACTCGGAGCGGTGACATTTCGGTTTATTGGCAATTGTTAATTTGTTGTCAGGTCATCTGTGTGAAGTAGATTTCTTCCCGGGTTCTACTTGCTGCGTTGTGGTATGTTGAGTTAGTTTGTGAAGAGCTTGCTGTCGAAATATTTTGCAGCTCATAGCAATTTGTGACGTTTACCTGTGGTTTTCGCCAGCTGTAATTAGCGATAGTTGTAAAATTTCCTATTTTTACTTCTGGATGGCTACCTACGCTTCCCCCCTCCCCCCCCCCCTTCTAGAAATTTACATTCGAATGTTGATTTTAATAAGTTTGTTTTATTGAATAGAGGATGGGGCTGGGTTTTGTGCTCTCTCAACTTCAAGTACCTTAACAAATAGTTTGTCTTGATTGTGGGGTCACCAAATGTGTTCAGTTTCAAAGTCAAAATAAACTGCATACAGTGAAGGGGTGGATTTACCGATTAATGGAGCTATTCAGTAATGGGCAAGCAATTACCTCTTCCCCATATTTCAATGGCCGTTCGTCTCATTAAAAATGTTCTCTTATATTCTCCTTAGGTTTTCTAATATAGAGCATGATACTTACACTGTTGTGAATATATTTTTCTCGGATCAATGCTGTGATGCACTTTGAGGGTGGTATGCGACACTCAATTAGAACTCCTTTTTTCATTATCGGCTATTTTTATCACACTACTAATTTGCTATTCGTTGGCTCATCGCTACATGCAGTCACGTGCACATCATCTTTGTTAATGCGCCAAATATTAAATGAGCTTTTTTAGGCGTTTTTTTATAAGTACATTTGTGCTCTGATCTGGTGTCCACTGGGGTGCCATTTCTGCCTATCGTTAGGTCAAGGGGAGAGAATACGGAGGTTATTTGATTCAGTTAATGTCCTCCTGCTCTCTTAATCACTTGTAGAAAAAGTCACTTGTAGCTACTAACCTAGTAATGGGGGTGTGAAGTGGGGGGGGGGCCAATTGTTGCCTACGATTTCTTCCCCAATCAGACACACCCTCGTATGCACCACTGCTTCTTAACACCTGTTGAGGCTCCATTGGCATCTTGTCCCTCGTCTAAGTAAATGCTCTATGCAAGGCTCTGTACATACAGTCTAGTCACGCTGTGTTCTTAATGTGGTCATTTGTGTTTTCATTGGGGTCCTATCACCGTTGTCTAATCGACTCTTATAAATGATATGGTGGGGAGCAGCGTTTTTTGCATGAACGACTTTTTTTCATACTTCTCTAAATCACTTGGTCATTCTTTGTTTATTACAAAGCGTTGAGGTCTCGAGGGAAGGAAATTGTGGCTGGACTTCGCTCCTGAGAGTAGTCAGATTTTCTATCGCTAGTAATTCAACAGACTTGTTTTAACTCGGTTGACATCAGTAGACAGCAGAATGCTTGCAGTAGAGGCTACATTCATTCCCTCACTTTCCAAAATAAAGGCAATAATGCCTACAATGCATCTAGTAAAATACTAAAACAGGCGTTTGAATAATGTGAATTTGCGTTACCTCTTTTCTTAAACAAATCGATTATTCATCACTTTTATTTCTTTATGACACTCCAAAGGAAGCAGCGTTTTGCCTCTGTTTAAACTCATTGTAAGTATAATTTTGTCTGTAATCCACACAAAATTAGAGAAGCAGATAAAGGGTAAAGCGCCTGTGTAGAGTGGATGTACGTGGAAATATCACTGTCCTTGTCTTTCATATTAAGAAAAAATTAGCCAATAATCGGGCTATAACTGCCTCTTTGTTTGTTCCAGGAGAATCTGCAGAACTCGGAGGAAACTTCTTCTCCCTTAAATTTTCCTGAAAAAAAGCGGCAACAACCAGAAAATGTCATCTCTATGTTAAATAACATCTCATCTCAATTGAGTATTCTTACGCAAGTAAGCGCAACATGATCTCTAATTGTGCTTCTTTTTGTTATGTGAATTACATTATCTTGTTTCCTTTTCAACGTGTTTCTAGACTCTGAAGTATCATTGATCACTTGCATCACATATTTTTTTATGCATTATCTTCTCTACTTTAACCTCTCTATCATTCAGCCGAAGCTATTGCTGTTTTGAGTTAATAGAAGTTGAATTGAATTTGCGTCAAGTAGTAGTTACCTATAAATAGCTGACAACTGTGGAGTTGTGTTGAAAAGAACATCGTGTGTCAAAAATTTTCCTACTTGTTGAAGCTACTTGTTTTTCTGCTCATCTTAGTCAGAGAAATGCACTTTTGTGGCATCATTAATGTGGACCGGCAGGACCAATAAGCCGCCTAGCTTATGATCATGCTGGTTCATACTGCTTCTGTCATCTTTATTTGTAATTATTCTTTATTTATATCAAATGGCAGGCATTTTGATAGTTATCATAAGCCCTTTAGTTGACTTCAGGGTTCACATCAAAGTGAAAAAAAAGTGGAGAGGGGGAGGGGGGAACAGAAGAGTATTTGAAAGATGTAAAAGAGACAGACACAAAGGTAGAGTGAAAAA